ATTAAAACTGCATGCGCAAGGTTTATGCATATGTTTGCATGTGTGGCGCTCGAAGAGATATACTATTTGAGGGCGAGAATCCATTTTATATTTCATTATTCGTAGGCCTTGCCACCTTATACTGAATACTCGACTGCCAAATAACACAATAGTGACGGACTGTACTATCGAGTGATTACAACCTTCACTCTCTTTTTCATCGAAAGACAGGGAAAGGAAAGAGAAATGCTACGCCCGTGTAATTGATGTCCGTGGCTTTCTTTGGGAGGTTGTGTAACCGACGTCCAAATAAAAGATTTTAGAGAGAGATTATCGCTTTTTCGCCGCTTCTTTATCAGAAATGGATTAGGGTAGTGCTGATACAAGGGAAGAGTAAGTTTTTGTTTGAAAAACCAGTTAATATGTAGTAAAGTCTACCGATTAACTTGTCTCCATGCGCAAGGGTTATTGTGAATTTGACATCGTGTAATGGTCTTGAAATTTAGAAAAACTAACCATATAAATCGCCAAGGAATAACTCAACCAAACTGTGTCAGTCTTTTTTTTCCCGTGATATTGTTTTTCCTGACAGGATCCTTCAGGGAGCTCTCACCGATCACATTTTGGCATTAGGGTTGCACTTGTGCAAGTACAAATCTATCGTTACCGATGTTCTGTGACAACCTTTTTAACAAGCCATATTCAATATCTGCCTCTTTACAACAGAAAGTGACTTAAAACAGTAATTTCCCTTACCGCCTCTTGATTTTTGTAGAGAGATATCAGACCTGCTTCTATTTTCAAGTCCAGGAATGGTCTTATATTTATCGACATAAGGGAATACATGTACTTGCATACTTTGAGCCATGTCATCGTACACGTAAATTTGACATTAATGATGATAACTTAGTCTACGGACACAATCAAGATTATTATAGGAAATCTGAACTTTAGAACTTGCTACTATCTAGTATAAAAACAATCCACTATTTTTTCCCTTTTAAGACCAGTCTAAACAATATTTATCTCTCAAAACGAGAAACTTATAATCCTCCTGGCTGCTATTGATATGTTTTTAGTATAATTGCTTGGGTGAGGAGTGCGTCATATCTCGCTTTAATCACCCTGCGTGAGGTAATTATAGCAGGAGCGCCAAATTTAAAATGGCTCCCTTGCATTTCGTCAAAGTCATGCAGCAAGGGACAAATGTGATAGGAAAAATTAAATTCTGAAGCGTGGGAAAGATGCTAATAAGATTGGCGTAACACTTTTTCAAAAGAAAGATATGAAGTTTTGGCTGACGGAGTGAAATGAAACGGTTAAATTATAGTGGAAACTAGCTTATATTTATACACGTAATCCATACCACTGTAACAGAATTTACAAAACACATTTACAGAAATTTGAAAGCATTTTAGCAGTTATACTAATGAAAGCAGTAGTTCACCACAGGCTTATTGAAGATTGTTGAATAATCATTCGACTTCGTCTTGGGAATCGTGAACAATATTCACTATGCCTTCAGCAAATATATGTTAAATAAATAAACAAATAGATAAATAAATAAATATATATGAAATTAAGAGATCCTCGCAGCTAAGAACACTTCTGAAACGAGTAGTTGTAAATAGGACCTGAAAAAAAAAATTCAGGCCCGTACGGGATTTGAACCCATGACCTCTGCGATACCGGTGCAGCGCTCTACCAATTGAGGTAACAAGCCAACTGGGAGCTGGTATTTTGCAGGTCCTATTTACAACTACTCGTTTCATGTCTATTTATTTTCTTAATGTACGTTAGTGATGTAGGGGGTTAGATAGCAGTTGGAACGGCAGTTGTGTTTCTTTCTCCCTTTGCGTATATATATATATATATATATACAAAAGTTGTAAATAACTGAAGAGGGTCTCTGACCGAAACGTTTTCATTAAATTTTCTATCTTTTTTACGTCAGAAGTTGTCCATCCTAGCATTTTTTTTTAACTCTCTCTATATATATATATATATTAATTAATTAATTTATTTATTTATATTTATTACATGGCTTTGGCTTGTGGCCATTATAATGGTGCTCTGATTGGCTAAGAGCGACATAAGAATTGATCTAAGGTGAAAGTTCAAAAGTTCATCAGCGAATGTCGAATTGCTACAACTTTAAATTGCCGGCAACAAAACTGGAACTCAACTGTTAAATAAAACATGCTGAACTAAATAATTCGAGCCATACCTTGTTTTTTGGATTGGCAATATACTTTCCCCATTGTCTTGGTACTGGAGAGGCAGGACCTCTGATTTGCACTTCGAGGCCGATGGATGTTCCCCTTTGCTAGCGCACACCTCCTTTAATGAAGTTGTTCAGTATTGCTCAAAGACCACGTGGACTTGCAGCCAGTCATTCGAAAAGAGGGGGGCACTGAAGATTTTCGAGTTTTGACGAATTTGCATGTCTTTGAAAACAGAAACTAAAGGTTGCCCTTCCTAGAAATGAAAGTTATGAGCTGTTTTATCTTAGTATTCAAGCCTACGTTGCTTAATCTGGCAACTAGTGTAAATAGGTGTTTATTAATTTCCGGATTTTTTTTTATTTCTGGAGTGAAATTTCACGATTACTTGTCTTGAAGTCCTTAAATTACGATTATTTATCGCAAATGGTATCTCTTTCGATTGATAGTCTCAAGGCATCTTCTATCACGATTAATAATTGTGCTAAGTACGGCTATTAATCGCAACTGAACTCATTAATAGTCGTGTTTAATGGGCTTTAGACCTGATAGTCGCACATCGCACGATGAGTAATCACGTCTGACCGCAAATGTCCTTATTTATCACAAAGAAAGTTACTCTTCGCCAAAGAAAGTTCCGGCCTTATTTTTTTTTTACGGCCGCCATTAAGACCAAAAATTCAGAATTCAGTATTTCTTGGCACATGGCTTTTTAGGCAATAAATGTTCTCAGAGAACTTCATTTCTGTCTAAAAAGTTTGTTTACCAACTACGTTTTCTTTGTTATTCGCGCTTCCACGACGTACAGTGTGGGCTTACGATGTCGTGAGAGGGGCGACTAGCACTTCTCCTCAGTGAGAATGAACACAAATATATGTACATTGATTTCGGACAGGTTTCAATTAAATTAAAGTTTAACCAAAAAAAAAATTAAAAACAAAAAAGCCAAATAGGTCGATGTACGACAAATTCTTGCCATTAACAGCTTCTTGTGAAGCTGGACGTGTGTTTACGAGCAAGTAACATATGAAACCGGCGGCGGTGAAGGATGCCAAAGATGGAACATGATAAAATTATTTCATTCTTGGGTAACTTGCATTCCCCTGCACTTGTAGTCTTGGCTATGCAGAATTGAAATTTGCCACGCTTAATCCTTTAAAAAAAGAGCAATGTTTCATTGATATCCTTACCCAGAAGCTTTTGGAAATACGTAATCCGGATCAATATCAGTATCTGAGCAACTGCCCACCTACCCCTCCCCTAACCCAACATTAACCCTAACTTGTTATCAATTGACTGTTGTTGAGTTAGGGGAAGGGTAGGTGGGCAGTTGCCCAAATACTGAAATTGATCCCGTAATCCTAAAAAAAGATGCGTTGCATTTACATAAGCGAAGGAGAGAGAAATATTCGAGTCGCGGCTAAATTTTTTAATGCTGCCAGACTCTTTCCAAAACTAGTGTGTTTTCGAAATGGGTTCTTCAAGAGCAACCATTTTCGATTTATTTAGTGAGACGTTTTTGTGACCATTACGCGTGAACAAAGTAGTGACTATTGCCATCGAGTGAGTTTCCCGAAAGTGAGTAAGTAACAATAGAATATACTTCGGAGCCAATCAGCACACAAAGACAACCAAAGTTCGGACTCTGCGAACAGTGCGATGATTTGCCGATAGTTCGACATACCGGAAGTCGAATCGTGCGTCAACATACCGGAAGTGGAGGGTGGTAAGCAATGTGTGAAAATGAGTAGCATGATATACTGAATGTCGAATCGTGCGTTAACATACCGAAAGTCGAGGGGCGTGAACAATGTGTCGAAATGAGTAGCATGAAAAGAGAAAATGACAACATGAACCTTCCACATTCTAAAAGCGTGAAACGGCCGGATTTCCATTGTCAAAATATCATAAATATTTGAATGAATCTTCTTCCTTCCTAAAGCGTTAAACAGGGGCATTAAATGTTGACGAATCGACACGATTTGTACGGGTCGACACAACTCGTCATTGGTAAAATAGATCCGTCTCATAGAAGTCGATTTACAAAAGAAGACAATACATACTTAAGGATTAAAATTAATTACAAACGGTTTTTAGGCCGCAAGTCAACCCATTTCGTGACCCTCGTCTTTTCTTAGAAGTAATGCCCAGCTAGCTAAACAGAATTTATTTATGAAGAATGGCAACGAAGGTACGGATGACTCTGCACCTCACTATAAGTGTTGCTATGCCCGTAGGCAGAGATAGGAAAATACGGACCGCGCTAAGAAACCATCACATTACAGGTTTCGTCAGCGTGCTCTCTAAAAAAAATAAATACACCTTATTCTGGTTGCGAAGCAATTTTTCCGAGCTCTGAAGAGGTGAATAAAAATATGAGTAATGAGCAAAATTTCCGCTCGTGTTATATGTCAAACTCTCGAATAATTGATTTATTATTCCACTATTATTTTCAGTTATCAGTGTTTTAATTTTAGTATGCGAATTACATCCTACGGCCTTATCTGTGTATCGTATCGGTCGTATGAGGTGTTCTTTCTTGCTTAAAAGTTCGCTAGTTTAACAGTCAAATTTAAAAAAATTAAACAAAAAAATGAAAGTTAGGATCGTTCAGGGCGGCCAATATGTTGCTACGTATTTTTGGCTTGTTCTAAAGTGTAATACTATGGCATATTTTGCCGTTTTCATTACTTTATTTGGTACAATGACATAGCAGTGGAATGATAACGCTCATTAATGTTCTGACTGATATGAAGTATCACTAATTATTTATTCAATCGCTTATTGTATTGGCATTTATTCATAGACCCGCCCACGATTCGAAATGTCACCACATCATCTAAGAAGTCTTGGATTGGCCAGACAGTGACTTTGAAGTGTCTTTCTGATGGTGTTCCTACACCAACACTCTCTTGGTACTATCCTGAAGGAAGTGAAATAAACAGAGTCAGAGCCAGAGAAAATAAAGTACAAGTGCCACTCAGGGGTGATCAAGATTTTGGTCATTACAAGTGCATTGCTGCCAATGGACTTACTCCATCTGATAAGAAATTAATAAAGATAAATCAGATAAGTAAGTCAATGAGATCAGTGTATTTTTATTACAAAGAAAACTATATATAAGGTCAGCATTTCCTTTTGTCTTTGCTCATTATCACTGTTTCAGGTGTATTAGAGGTAAAAGCCAAATTTTCTTACAAAGTATTGGACAGAGTAACTTATTCACTTTGTACATCTCATTCGATGATTTAACATTTAATACGTGCGGATATTTTGCAAGGCCCATAGGTGTGTGGAAAAAATGTATGCTTATGTTAAACCATCGAGTAAGGGATTTATTATTCTTTCATTTACGAACAATTTGTCCGCTTAGTTTTCGACATACATCCTACGGCCTTATCTGGGCGTTCCATTCACATTTTTTCCCTCTTTAGCAGCATTAGACCTTCACATATTTTTCGCCTTCGTTGCCCCAATGAGGTATAACAGAATATTACTGGAATTATACCGAATATAGTTAGCCTGATCTTTTAGTTGGAAATGCACCCATATTTGTAAAAAAGATTTAAAGTAAATTGTCGACACCTTGCCCTTTCTTTGCATTAAACACGTTACAAAAGAGCTTTGAACTTCAGGAAGATGGATGACATCTTTACATGCGAGTATCCATAGGAAACTTCCTCAACCATGGACTATCAATTGTGCCCCTTTTTATTAGGCTCTTGGCTGAATTTATCCGGTAGCTACATTTATATTCATTAATTACAGGTTAACGCACTCGGCGAGTGAACTACGGGGATTTACCTGCACTAGTTCACTGACAATGAACGAGAAATTTCAATAAGCCTCGTGCAGTAGTGAATATTCCGAGTTCATTGTTTGTGAACGAGTACAGGTAAATCCTGATAATTCACGAGCCATAAGTGCGTTAACATTTTTATTATTCAAACTGAATACACTGTACAAAGAAACACTACAGTGAAACCACTATATACAAGGTAAACCAAGCCATGGTGTAATGACAACGGTGTGTTGAATTTGCACTACGGCCATTACAGCACGATGACGATGTCAAGGAGGTAGTTTCGTCACAATCCAGTATCACGTGGTACAAATCATCTAATCAGAAAATCGGAATTCGAACAGTGTATGAAAGTTGAATAATTAGCTGTGAGAAGACGCGGACTTGCATTCATCCTTAGTGTTGTGACAAAACTCAAAGTAATCTCTTCTCCTATGGCACTATGTAGAGAAACCGGGGAAAGCATCCATTAAATCAGAATCAGTCATTCAAGCAACTTCTATAATAATACAATGGACTGCACCAGCTGATAATGGAGGAAGTCCGATTACAGGATTCCAAATGATCTTACAAAAGGATGGAACTGAGATAAAAAAGGTGAATATCACCGATCCTGGGACGACAAGTTATTCGTTTCGTGGTTTGGAGAAAGATACCAACTACACAGTGAAACTGTTTTCCAGAAATGTTGTATTCGAGGGAGATCCTACTGTATGGAACATTAAGACCAAGTTTGAAGGTGAGGAATCAAAAGTGATATCGTCAATGAGCACTTTACACAATCATTTTCTCGCCAACTTAGATTCGTTGTGAGTAACCCAGTTTTAACAATGTTATCTGCTTGCCGCATTATAAGATTTTCGATTTTCAGCGTTTGTCCCCTCCTTAGTGGCCAGTTATATTTATTTTCTGATGTTCATGTTTCAAAATCTGTAATATGAATCAGCAACAACAACAGCCGCTAGATAGTGACCTTTAGGTTAGTTGGATACATTTTTCCTAAACTCGTACCAGCCATATTCAGAAGGCCCAATAACCAACCATCCCTTTAGGCAGTGAGACGATTTCCACACATCGTTTGACTAAAGAATTGAAGTTTGAAGAAATAGGCCTTTCATGAAAATCGCTTTTAATATGCAAATATTATGGGGAAATCTCGTCAAACAGTGTGTGGACGGCCTCGAAGAATCCTTCGTATATTTTCTTTAAAATGAAAAATAGCTTATTTCCATTTCGCAGGGATAAGCCCAAACCAAAACAATTAGGTTGCCGTTTTCAAGAGAGTTTCTTTCGAATCTCATCCGGCACATATCTCACTCAACAAAAAAACTACTGTGGTAACAGATGTGAACTTAGTAACTGAAATTGAACATGTGAAACATGGCAATGAAGTTCGTTGCACCTGTTATCGGTTTAGCGCTCCTTGTCATAGCCTCCTCGGTTGGCAAACCCCCTGAAGAAAAAAGCCTGTTGTCTCGGCGGAAAAACCCGCGCCAGGTTATGTTTGCAAAAGAAGAATCGTAGGCCTGGACGCTCAAATGGCTCGAGAAGCACTCATTTTCCCGTTGCGTCATTACAGAGTGCCTGTACTAAGTCATGCACGACGTCAAACTTTTCAAAAGCAGAAAGTAGTTGCACACGAACTGAGATCCTTTCTGTAACTACGTGACACAAACGAATGGTGAATTGCGACGTCTTATATGCATCGGTCCTTCATTTGATCACTTGTAAATAGCAATTAAATGCCAGTAGAAGTCAGTGTATCGTTCAAGTTCACCTTGTAAATGCAGTATTTGTTTTAGGCAATAACCGACCATCATTTTAGGCTTCTCATTATCATTTTTTGTCCTTTCAAATTATTTTGAATTCATCTCAATACTTAACTTAATTTTCCCTGCCAAACACTTTCGTCTCAAAAATATCCCAAAAAATCCTCGACCAATTTACAGATTATTTAATCACTGGTAATGGTTGTGACCAGGTTTGTAACAAGAAGTTGTATAATTATTAGAAATTTCACGCTGTTCGTGTTGTTGACATCAATCTAGGAGCCCCGGATGTGGTCGAAATAGACGAACTGCCAGGTGAAACAACAGACGATACAATTACCTTAAAGTGGAAGGAGCCAGAAAGTAATGGAAAAGTTATTATCATGTATACAATGTACCAAAGAGTAGTGACTGATGGAAAAGTGGGACAGTGGACAGTAATAAGGAAAATCAAAAACGTTTCTGTGAGAGAATCGAAAATAGCGTTGGAGAGAGGAAAGGTGTATCAGTTTGCCATTACTGCAACTAATGAGCTTGGTGAAAGCCTAAAACAAGAGGATGAAAATATCCAGCGAGTCAAGGCAGAAGGAAGTATGTTCAAATGAATCTTCTTTTCCCCTTTCAACGGTTATCCTTTTCTTTACCTAGTTTTCAAGGACTCTCTGTGTCATGAACATCGAGGTCTTTGCGGGTGAATTCTTCGCTTGCAAGAACCTGAATCAATGAGAAAAATTTACTTACGTCACAGTTGATATTTGTATACCAACTGCAAACATATGGCATATCTATAAACTGAGATTTTAATCGTTGGCTGGCACACACAAATTTTTTAAGTGGTTTACTGACACATGCTGATCTGAATCTGGAAAGAGAAGTCTGCAACACTTTCGTTTTATCTTCTTACATTTAAATTAACTGCGTTTTTCTTTCCTTTGCCGCCATCACTTAGTTGATGCATCTCTCCCACAAAAAAATTTCACTCTCTCACACTGAATTCAGAGAACTCTTCTGTCATTTTCACCACCACGGCACTTTATTCTTTTACCGATGAAAGTTACTTCGCACTTAGCCTCCTCTGCGCACCGTAATTTCGACACCAGATTACTGAACCGCGAGAACTCAGAAGTGGCCTATTGTCAGCGATTTCGCTTTAGCTTAATTGATAATGTATGATCACGCTTTCTCACGCAGCGAACAGAGAGGTTGTCAATCGTTTCACAGGTTTTCTTCGGTAAAGCTACAGAGTGTCACGCAAACTTCCTGTCTAAAGGTCATCAAGGGGTCTTCATTTTCTTAGGTCTTTAGTTTTCGGGAATCTTCGTTTTCGCTACAAGCGTAGTTCGCTTTCTCTTTGTTGTTGACCTCTTTTCAGTCTGTTTTCTGGAGCTCTTTGTATTCCCTTCTCACGTTGGTCTTCGCAAGATATTCGCCATTTTACTTTAGCCTTTTCTTGTTCTCTATCGTCTTCCCCTCGCTGTGTTCTACCTATTCTTCACCCTATCAAACCCCATTTCGCGTTCCTCTCGACTCACTCCATGCCTTTTAAGTTCTTTCTCTCTTTGGTCGCTTTCTCTCTCTATTTCCAGTCTATTTTCACTCGAGACCCTTTCTCCATGAACTTGAATTAGAGTAATTTCTTCCGTTTGGAAAAGCTTTAGTTCTGGGTATCGTTGCTTTGCAAGTTTGTTAGAATTTGCAAAATACCAAGAATTACTTTTCAACTGCAACCTCACCAGTATGATTTACCGCTCAAATCACGGGTTGCAAATTCTTTCCTTGCGCTGCTTCACATCTTCTAACCAATATGAAACCTTTCTGGGTTTCTACAGACATCTTTAAAGTCGAATCTTAAGGCTCTTTTCGTTATCAAGTTTGAGATCAGATATTCTATTTCTAGCTTGTCTTCGTTTAAATCAACTTTAGCAGCGCAAGAAACAGATACAAGACAAATTTCGTATTTCAGTGGCTAGAGTTGCCATGATCATTGAAATTTGGTTTAATGAGGACAATCATGAAACACGAATAATCAAAAGAGAAGAATTGAAAAAATAACAGGTTGAAGGTGACTATTCTTTTTAATTTAGGACAATTATCAGAGGAGTTTGACACAACAGAGAAAACTGTGCAGTGAACAGTCATACCTGGCGACATAAAGAGAAGATGCAAGTCAAAGTTAACAGATGAAGGTCTGTGCATTAGTGGGTGTGCTACAGACCCAAGATGTCTCATATCAGTGCTAATTTTTCCACCAGAGAGGAACTCAGTCATTTTTTAATTGCGGTCAGTTACTTTCATTGAGCTCTAAAATAGATCTAGGAAATTTCTGACACCTCTTTGGCTTCTCTAGAAGTCAAAGTTAACAGATAACAGTCTATGCATCAGTGGGTGTGCTACAGACCCAAGATGTCTCATAGTTTTGTCATCTTCAAATCTATCACATGTCAAGAATACCATTCCTTATTCTCAGTGTCTTAGGCTTCATTGCCTATATATTGACAGTTCTGATTTTCCAAGATATCAGAGGCAATATGCCAGTTCTTCAAAAAACCGTGGCCATCCTACCTTTGTCATTCAAGGGAGTCTTTAACAACTGATCGAAAGTCGGCAATGTACAAACGTCACAGAAGGAAGAAAATGATCGTATTCCATTTCAGCGGCAAAATCACGCAATACAATAAGACCTGCCCTTCTAACAAATTTAAATAGCTTCAAAATGACCCGAAAACTGGTGTATTATTTTTGCGTAAAACAGACAACTGTTTGGTCAGAAATACTTTCTAAATAAATGATCAACCCGAGGCTTTAACCTCGCGTGCATGACACAAAACTTTTCCTTTCATAAATAATGTTGAGACTGGCTCTACCAATGTCATCTATTTCATAACTTGCGGTTATTTAAAAAAGTTATACTTCGGCGAAAAGGAAGACGACTAGGGGAACGATTCTGAGGACACCATCGTGACTCAGAACACAAGAAAAACAATATCTCTCAAATTGGCCTCCCATTCGTACATTTTTTGCCGGTGTTCTTTGTAAGTAAAGGCTGTTTTTTATACATGAGTTCAAATGATAATTCTTGTGCAAACAAACGTTCATTTTAAGTCGTATTTTGTTTTTCTCCAGTTCAAACAGTAAGCACAGAAGTTTACCTGACAGCAACAATACAGGAGAACTGTAGCAAACGTTCAGAAGTTGCTGCGAAATTTCCAGAAATGGTTAGATAATCTACTTGATCCATATACTGGAGTTTAAGGAATACTGCCATGAGATTTATCACGAAAAGTGAATCTTAATCAATCTGTTCTTGAATGAAATCTTAATATTTCTGTTAAAAAAAAAAAGATGTTCTGAACGATCTTCAATATGTGACAAGCATTTGAATATACGTTTTTTCTTGATATGTCCTTTTAGGCTTGTCAAATTGCCTTGAGGTTTGGCTGCTCATCCGCCAACACTGTGAACACCAGGTAAGGTACAGTTTGTTGTTGTACACTGAAACAACAAATGCAAACTCAAATTTGCCTTCTAGTAGGGGAGAGGAGCTTTATTTCAATGTGTTGTATTTCAGCTGTAAAAGTGTTTTTTCTGCCCTGGCAAATCTTATTTAATACAAGATAATTTATATTTGAAGTAAATTGTCTTTAATGTTCAGTAATATATTGGCAGAGAATGACATGAATTAATTTTATTTACCTTGTTTTATTATATTGGTTAAATCTCAATGTATTTTAACACTTAAAAGTCACCAAAGTACGAATGTGTGTGATGATACTCTTTGCTCTCTCCTCCCCCCCCCCCTTATATAGGTGTGGCAGTGTTGTTCTTGACTTTATGATGAGGTTCAATCAAAATGTAGTCGTCAGCAATGTTTTGATTGTCCTGTTGGATGCTGCAAGGCAAGACAAATTCGGAGGTTTTAAAGTCAATCCAGACTCAATTAAACAAGTTTTAGTACCCACAGGTGGCTCGGAAAGCACACAAAAGGTAAATTTTACAAAGATATTGTTCAATGGTTACACTTATTCTTCCGAAGATGGACTGTTTATAATTGTATTCCGTATCTATTTAATTAAACAACTTATTCTGTGACTGATACACTTCCAAGTTTTTGTTTTATCGTTGTTGTTTTATTTAATTAAACAAAATCTTACTTTTAAAATTATTCTAGAGAGAGTTGCACCTTACTCTTCCTTCGTACCAAGCCAATTAGAGTTAACGTTTTTCGGTCATGAACCTAAGCTATGTAGTGAGAGCAGTGTATCGACCAGGATCAGTGTAAATGTTTTTTGAAGGTTATTTCATCAAGCTTTGTAAAATGAATCATTTTAGGTCCTGAGGAATTTAACTGCCCATCTAACAACATCTTGTTAGCCGTAATTGGGGTTCTTGTCTTCACAGTCCTTCTTCTAATTATTTACATAATCTGGCTACATAAGAAAGGTAGGTAAAAAATTATAATCTATGTTAGAGGGTTTGGCTGCAAGATTCTTTTTTACGCAAAGGCAAGTTTTACCCACGTTTACATCATTTGTATTTTTTCCTTTCGTTCTTTTTCAGGCGCTGTAGGGAAACAGAGGTAAGAATTTGCTGCTAGTTGGATTGTGTCGATGTAATGTGCCCGATATGGTTCATCTTAACACAAAACTCCAATAAAAACTGATGAAATTCTTGGCGTTTTATAATTATTTCTATGCTTTCTCAACTTTAGGACTTATGAAGATGAGAGACGTGTTTGCGACGTAAGTTACAGCTAAGACATTGAGGTCATGTTAGTGTGACCAGAAATTATGTAATCTTACTTTACCTCTACTTTCTTTGAGAAAATAAACGCTTGCAGCAAATAAGAAGGAAAAAATTTGTAGTTCTACATAAAAAAAGCATATTGCATCAGTGGCAGATACAATGAAATAAAAGAGGAAATTAGGCTCGATAAGGTCTTTGTCCTGTGATCATGTCCTTTACCAAGCCACTCCATGGATTGTCCTTCGATTGTCCCTGGTTCAACCGCTTGGTTTCACTTCATAGATCGCTAACTGGTATGCACCCGGTTGATATTTGCTCTCTAAATAATAGATTTCGCGCATTTTGGCCATCGTATTTTCTTGATGCCTTATTCTCTAAACGTGAGTTTAGGAGCTGAGTACAGCAAGAATCTTTTCGTGCAATTTTTTCGTCAAAATATTAGACTAACAATCGACAATCTTCACGTTGCAGTTTGTAGCTTCGGCGAATATGCTATGAGCCTCGATTACTCTATAGGGCATGATAGTTTCAAAAGCAGAGAACAAAATGTTAGTAATAATAAGAGCAAGGGATTATAAACTATTTATAATCTCTTGTCATGGAAGAATATAAAAGTTTGTTTGATGAAAATGGATAAACTGATTTTTATTACCATGTGTGACTTTCTACTGGAATTCATAACAGATTTGGGTATGAATCCCTTAACGGTATGTTGATTTAATAGAATGAAACAGGATTAGCAGATATCGAACCAAGTCTGCCCGATTCAAGAAAACACACTCAGCCTCCTGCAGAATACATGGATCTTATAGAAGTCAACAAAGATAATAGAAAAGCACAAAGTACCCCTCCAGGTGCTGATTACATGCCTCTTCATACGTTAACACGCTGCTGGGAAGTTCCAAGACATCATGTCACCATAGAAAAAATCATTGGTAAAGGTTCTTTTGGTCAGGTTGCCAAAGGAACAGCAGTAGGACTTCGAGGGAGTCCTAAAACGTACACAGTGGCTATTAAGTTGCTTAAAAGTGAGCTCTTGTACTGTAAATTGAATGACAGTCTTGGCCTACAGGCATTCAGGAAATATTACCGGGTTACTGTAGTTATTTAGCTATTTGCCATTTCATAAGTTATGTTGTTATTCCGACATTTCGCATATTATTTCCGTTAACCAAATTTTACTCCTTGTTTTTAATGCTCTAGCAAACGCTACTGAATCGGACAAGAGAGATCTGATGAAAGAACTTGACACAATGAAACAGCTAAAACCACATCCTTACGTCATTAAACTTCTGGGATGTGTTACGGAATCCGGTATGCTTTGGTTGTGCGGTCTAATTTTGCTGTACACATTTTTCTTATGATTTACTCATATTCATCCTCATATTAAAAAATTCGTCTTTGGTCGCTAAACTGCTTCATTACAGAATCCTATTTCGATTAAAATGTTAACATGAGCGTTGTATAAAGTAACTACGTATTGCAGACATAAAGTAGTCTGCCATCTGGAAGAAAGAGAAATACACACACCATATTATGCTGCTAGATATTTCTATTTTCCTCTCTGAACCATTTCATTTCAGTTTTTTTTCTTCTACAATCGCTAATTTTTGCTCTTACATCAATTCTTTCTTAGATCATTCACCGAGACCTTGCGGCCCGTAATGTGTTGGTTGGACAAAAGGAAATGTGTAAAGTGACAGACTTCGGAATGGCCAGAGATGTGCTGCAGGAAAATATTTATGAACGAAAGACTAAGGTAATCAAGAAAAAGGGGAGGTGAGGGCGGTATTACATTTCGTTCAGTTTAGTGATCTTTGACAATCATTGTTGTGGTAAAGCTGATATATTCCTGATTTCGATCATGAATTCCTTGGGAACTTCATGAAATTATTAGCCATGTGTATACGAGTATAACTTTAAATATCACTGTTTTTGACTAGTCGCTTCCTATAATTCTCGAGCCGTTTCACAAAGTGATATTTAAAATCTTTAGGGCCGTCTTCCCGTGAAGTGGACAGCTTATGAGGCCTTATTGTATGGTAAATATACCACCAAAAGTGACGTGTAAGTATACCTGATTATTACCCGTAGCAGTTTATCAACGATTTTATTATTTTAATCAAAACTTGAATTCTATGCTTTGTCAAAGAATACATTTATTTTATTTGTCGTTTATACTGTTTATGTCTATAGTCAATTAATTTATATTCGTTTGATTTGTCTTTCTGCAGATGGAGTTATGGAGTTTTGTTGTACGAGATTTTCATTATAGGTAACATCGAATGGAATTTTATGAGGCTCTGTAGATGTTTTTTGCGTTATACCATGTGTAATTAAACAATGTATCGTGTTCAGTTAGACGAACGTTATGAGCTTCAAACTACATCTAATGACAAAGGTGGTGTTTCAGTGAAGGTCTTTTTTCGTCACATTTATATTTCGATGGTCGATGGTCTTGTGGTTCTTCCAGGCGGTTTACCTTACCCACGAATGGATGGAAGAAATATTGCAAACTTACTCCAGGATGGATACAGGATGCCTAAACCACAACACGTCGATGAAAAATTGTAAGTTTTCTTTGTTACTCGTTCTCCCTCATCGTACAAGGAAACTTCTTTAAATCTTTAACAGATCATTTGAACGATGCCTGGTATCAGATCATGATGAAATGCTGGAAGAATGACCCAGACGCAAGACCAACTTTCACTGAATTGAAAAATCAGCTTAAGGACATGGAAACCCTACACAAGGTCAGAATTTTGATCAAAATGAAAGTTTCTTTTCACGTAGGACCATTGAGCCTAAACAGCGTAGTAATATGAACTCATCTCTGTAATTTTTACGAAGTTTGGATTGCATCTTTTTGTTAAATCACTGAAGCTAGTACTCCACGAAAAACATCAAAGAAGTGAACTAGAATGTTTCAATGACAATTAACACTTGATGGTTATTTAAAAGATCATAGGATGATTGCAAAACTGGATAACCACCTAAAACTTTTTTAATGGTGCTGATTATTATATTATTTTTCTCTGCAGAAGCTAATTGACATGAAAATGTACGACAAGCAATTGTATGCAAACGTCGAGGATTTAACGGTGTAGTTAGATACACATCCACGGTGTATGACTGGCTAACATTTTGAACACTTCGCTCAGACAAGTTTCAGGGATTCATCATCGTTTCCTCACCCGCTTACTTGGTAGAAATAGCCATATTGCGTTTAGCAGTTAGGATGTTACACTGTAATTTAATTGACTTCATATTCTTAAACGCTGAAACGCTTTCATAAGTTTACCGATAAAGTTTACTCTCATTTTCTCTTTAGCATATTAACTACTTACATGTATGCCTCGACACAAGCGTTTGAGTTCCGCTTATTTTCTGGCTCAATTCTGAGGTGATGATGAGATCTCGCTCTGAAAGCCATAGTTGTGTACAATTTTGATAAATTGCTAAAAAATTTTGCCGCAAAACCCGCTTGTTTGCAGGAAAGCTAATCGTGCGCATAATTGCTTTCCCCAAGACCGCTTTTAACCGCGATACCAACTCGAAATACTTTTATACGGTATTCTTATCAAAATTATACTTGGCACATTACTTGTGAAAGAAATTTTGTTGTTTGGCCCGATAGTTTTCGCGTACCAGATACCATTACTCAACGAAACTGGTCGTAGGTACGTGTTCAAGTCTTTTTTTTTCTTGGATAAGTTGCTAATGTAATAACTTTAATTTTTTTTTTATATAATAAGAGTGTTGAAAAGTTCTGAGTTGACTCTGTCTGCATAATGATGCCGTACACGAGTTCACATCTTTCTCTCCACGACATTGATCTAATAAATCTTGACCCATCCCTCTAGATCTCTCCTTTGAAGGAAGGACAAAACCAAACCAAAGTAACAGAGCTTCCAGAAGTGCCAAATATCGCTTGTACGTGTTTCAGGAGACTTACATCCAAGAGACCATGTTCTCCTGTCACTCTCAGTAGAGGTTAAGAGTCGATGATTCTTACGTAATTATAAAGTAGGTTACCTTTTGGTCAAAACCCTTCTTTTCTCAGCTGATATAAATAATTGCACTAGAAACAGTACCTAATATGAAAACAACGTTCTTTCAGTCTGGAGTAGAGGATACCTGAGGAATAGTCTTAGCATTTAAATAAAGGAGAGTTTTGCGTCGGTTTGGAAATATCCCTGACGTTATTTTGTTTCTGGGGGCAAAATGATGCTTCAGCATACAGAGGAGAGGGGGTGAAATGGAGGGGGGAAGGGGGGGGGTGGTCGTAGCTTTGCACAATGAATTCACCGAAATTTTTGTATAAAAATTTTCGAAGATTTTTGCCGAGAAGGAAATGAGTTTTATCCTAACATTTCTGCAAATGTCGAACTTTGTCAAATTTGCCATTCTAAACGACATCACGAGTGATGCAAAGATTGTGCCATTGGTGAGATAAGTTGTAGTCTGTGGTGGGATAAGGAAAGTTTACTAAGGATAATTAGTGTACCGCTTTTAAGAGCGAAATTTTTTTCTAGTCTTGAGTCACTTAGATTGCGGTTCTCTCGAGATAGGACATAATCAACTGACAAAATAATTAGTAACCGTTGCAGCTATCAAATGGTTGGCATTCAGCTTTACATAGAGACAGAAACTATCAAAAGGCCTTTTTAGTCCAAACTGATTTAAGGTCTACTATGATTTCGCTTTACAATTCATTCTGCTTTCTGTCGAGAAAGAACGTCATAAAATTGTGGCCGATTATCTACAGCGATTTCTGATAAGAATGTCATTATTTCATTTTTGATTATTCTACAAACTCAAAAGGTCTACACCAGTGCCTTTTATTAAATGACTCTGTTTCACTTGTGTTACGTTGTCAGGTGTGCAGAAGTTTACTTGGACATTATACATACAATATTCTTACATGTTCCTTTAATTTTCATTTTCCTCCAACGCGAGATGCTTTCTCTGACCAGAGGTCCGGGTCTATTGGTCATCAATACCATACATTCGTCAAACACGGTGGTTTTTCCTTGCATCACATTCTTCGCTGAAACGGCAGCTAGTTCTAAAATCGACACATAAAAAGCGATGCGACTAAACGATGTCGCACTGAATTTTTGGACTTCCCCTCAATTTCATTGATACTGAGAGGTTACGTACATGCTCTCCACTAAACTCAAAGGGTTCTGTTTACTTTTCTTTTTCCAAATCATCAAAAATCATTCTTGAATCCTCATTCTTAACAGTGTAGCACATGCTATATGACTGCCTGATATGTCATTTATAAATCAGTATCAGCATGACCATGCATACTAACGTAAACAACGGAACAGTATGTGATGTTCTGGAGGGATGTTACTAAAAAACGATAAACGATGAACGAGGAAGGAAGAACGGAGAACTCGGTCTTTAGATTAATCTGCTAAGACGATAAATTAAGTTGTTACTGAAGCGTTTTTACTTGAAATTTGACTTCAAAAGTTTAGTTTCAAGACGATAGAAATTGCAGGTCCGCTGGAAATCGGCTATTTGCCTTAATTGGAGAATCAATCGTTCCGCCATTTATCCTTTCTAAAAGCGTCTAGATGAAGTGATTTTTTAATCTGGAGAACTCAAACAAAGACGAGAACAAAAATTAACTCACTTTTGGTTCGCTTTTACATCAGGCGATCAAGTGGGAAGCCTTTATTTCACCATAGTGTCTTGAACTAAACGGCACACACCAAAGATGCGCAGGAAGTGCTAAGAAAAAGATCTCCTGACTTCCGACCACATTTCGCGTAACAAAAAAGTCTCTTCTTATTCATTCTGATATGCTGCATTTGGTGTTACACACGGCTGTAATTAAAAAGAAATCTTTGAATACGTCTTTCTTAATCAAATATAACGAGAAGGAAGGAAAAACAAAGCAGAAAACAAACAAACAAGAACAATGATTTTATATACTCACTTTACCTCTTCTTCTCAGTGAGTCAACAATGTTGAACACAAAAACTTTTGTGCACCGCTAATCTAAATATTTTTAGGTTTTAAAGTGAATAACCGCTGAAAGTCTTTTAAGGTTTACCTTTCGTCGTGAAAGCTGGTGGTCACGCAAACATCGAGGAGTCCACAAACTTCTTGAAAACTGCTATCTATCTATATAATAGCCAAGCCTAAAAGCGGTGCTCTAGTTAGTTTATTTTCCAGCCCTTCATTATACTGAATAAAAACTGTCATAAAACTCTTCACTGGCTGTAGAAGAGTTTCTCCGAGGGGATTTAGAGACCAGTCCAGGAGTTGGGGAGTGACGAGGTGTGGAAGGCGATCAACACGCATGCTAGTCAGCGGTATCTTTAAACAGCCTGGGATCCTCGTTGTTGTTCCTGATGTTTTGAGCAAATTTTCGAAGATAGGGAATGTTTTCTTCTTCAAATGAAATGTATGATGTCAGGATCAGTTACAATTATATTCTATTGAGCGTGACTTATCATTTCGGTTTGGGAAATTGAGCCAAAATCGAAAGAAAAGACGGTAAACTACTTCGCGTTAAGACATTACTGGTCAATTGAGGAGTGAGAACAGTGAGTCAGTAAAACAGTACGTCAGAATCGTATGGGCCTCTGTTATATCGTCTCGTGAAGTTGCATGACTCCTTACCCCACCGTTTTTCCCTAACGTTCCGGTAACCTTTGCTGAAATTAACTGCATACAATGTGGGTGTCTTTAAGAAAACTTGAGATAGTACCTGGATTTCATTTTTCCATCACAGAAATCAATTCCAAACGTCAATCAAGTTTTCTCTTTAGTTTAAAAGTTAAGTGGATGTTGTTATTGGCTATATTAAATAGGTTGAAAAGTTTCAGATGGTATTTTCTCATGTTTGCCATTAATTGAATTTACTGGAAGATGGAGTTGTTTCCACAACTTGTAAACACCATTACAAAATAATTAGTTAGGGAAATGGAAAATTTGTGGCATAAACACCATGTTTGAAATGCTATGTCCATGATAAGTTTGCAGGATTGAGGGGGGGGTGTATGTGGGAATAGGCCATCTTGTCTGTATCACCCCTGTTGGCAATGTTTTGATGAGGTTGGGCTGTCAGGGCAAAGGAACTCTGGATTTTTGTAGGCATGCAGTGACTTTTTCCAAACCTGGAAACTATCATCCCAAAAGCCATACTTGTGCCTGGTAACTCATTCTTATTCTGATAAACTAGTTTTAAGAAGGATACAATATTTTATTACATAAATTTGATGTATAGGCTGTGCACAAAACTATAATATGACTATACATTTATAGCCAATACCAATCCTTAAACATAAAAAAATTGTCAGTAGGATCAGAGGAAAAAAAAATATGCCATAAATCTGTAAGAGTTCATGTAATTAATTTAATGACATGAATATTAACTGATACAAGAAAATCTAAAAATATTCAAAAGAAAATAAAATTTGGTTGAAAAATTAGAAATCAGCAGAGGCCGAATAATCACGATTCCTAGAAAAAGAAATGTGTACTGATGAAAATGTGAAGCAAAATTTTTTACAATACCTGCCCGCACCTGTAAAGCAGCAGGTAGTAAAGTCATTCAAAGTAGTTATAATCCCGGTTTTATATGCTGAAAACACATGCACATGCAGATTTCCCGTAAACCTCTAGTTCAAGCGTGCGATAACTTCGAAATTTTGATGCACACCTCAAAAAGATAACAAATAAATTTCAAGTTTCTATTCATTCAGTTTAGGTTAGTGAGGTAAAATTGAGTCAAACATTCATACAATGACAGGTTCAAGGAATTTTCACAACTAATTTATAAGGTTAGCCTACCCGGACTAATCACCTTCGTGTACAAATTAGACCAGGGCCCAGTTATATGAAGAGCGGATAACGCTATCCAACGGGTAAACTGTTAAATTGTTAAACAAATTCTCCTTGTTAGCATCTTAGGAAATGTATAGAGAACAGTATGGAGAATATGCATAATGATGTTAGGGTGTAAAGGGTTAAGTGTGATGTTTTTGATGATGTGTACTTTTTCTTATGGACATCTAATTTTAGTATCTTTTACCAGCTGATGTATGAGGAGAATCAAGTCCACACTGATAATTTGACACATTAC